CTCCATAAGATTTTCATGTCAAATCTCCTCAATAAGAGTTTAAAAATCTATGTTTTTCTTTTATTTTTTTTTGGCCAAGAAGTAATTTTTTGGCTTATATTTTATGATCTAAAGTAATTTCGGCTTGGTTGGATTAAGATGAGCATTAAAAATAGTTCGGTCCGAGGGGTAAGTAATTTGAAGTATTTGGAGAAACAAAAACTCAAAGAGCTTCATTTTCAATCAACATTACAAAATTTCAATCCAATTTTAGTCGATCAAATTACATAACTTTGTTTCCCCAAACTTTCCCTCTGAGTCAGTAGAAAATTTGAAAGGGTTTCACGCATCTTTACCAAAATTCTAATCCTGCTCTTCGATGGCTTCTCTTCCCTCTTCAGCCAGCTGCCTTTCCTTTTCTTGTTGCTCGGCATGAACAGACATACAGCAGTTAAAATATTTCATTTGAAACAACACTTTTGATGGTAATCATACAAATTTGTGCCAATTCTAACAGACATTTTTGGCAACTTAAAACCCATTAAAAAGATAAACAGAAATGTGAGTAGAAGGAAGATGATGCCTGTTGGCCTGAGACCTAAAAGGCTAAATGACATTACTATTTCTGTATGTAACATCTGGAAATAATTGAAAATGCATTTGTGATGATTGTTTATAAATTACAATAAAATGCTTACTAGACATGATGACTACGGGTGGGCTCCAGGGAATTGATCAACTCTGGACAATACAAGGTAACTTTTGGAAGGTAAGGAGATGGGAATATAAAATGTAAGTCTGTAAGATTAGACAGATTTACCACGCAAAAGAGGAAACCTTATCATTGTTCAAGTTCGTAGTTACAATAATATCCCTACCATTTAAGGAACTATGGACTCAATTCTGGTTCAGGTTTTATGGTTTGGCTGTTCAGAAGTCTAATGACGATTCAAGTGCATCAAATCTGACCACAAATCTAACAATATTACCCCTATTCTAATAAAAAAGTTTTGTAATTGTACGGTTCATGGTTGATGTATGTGCATTAACATTTCTTTCCTACAGGATTTCTAATACTTGTTCTTGTTGCCCGAATCTGATATTCTGATTGATTGCCTACTCAAACTTATATCCTAGCCTATAATGTAGAGAGGTGGATAACACAAGTTGTCCTGGAGAACATACATGTAAATGTGTCTATCACAGAGACAACAATTGCTTACCCATAAGTTTGTACATAGCTTTTTGGGTGCACCTTTCTAGCTTATCAAGCTTTTTCTGCAAATCTCTTCACAGATCCCAGTTGGGTTTTTTTGGAGCAATGTTAAGAAATGGATCCTGGACACAGATACAATATTAAGTGCAATGCAAATTAAAATGCAATCAAACAGGATAGAAATAGGGGGAGGAAATTCAACGTGCTCAAGCAAAAATGGTAATGAAGCTAATGTTGCAACTCTTTCTTTTCTGGTGGTGGGGGTGCTTCTGTAATGGGGAATTCAAACTTTGGTAGCACTGGAGGAGCAAGTTTGCCTTCCTGAAGTTGCTTATCCTGAGGGACATAATCTCGAAATTTCATGCTGAGATTTCTGCAAAAACAAAGAAGAAAAAGAATGTTAAATATGTGTTATACATGAAAACCCCAGGTGATAATTCAAATTGAAATAGACGTTAATTAAAAGTAAAGTAGACATTAATTAACAGTAAAAACCAGCCATGAAGTAATAATAACTTACTCGGCGTCAGTTGTTCCATTGTCATCACGTTGAGCGGAATCATCATCTGGAGTGTTTAACAGTTCCTGTGCAGCTTTCAGAACCCTTAGTTTCTCTCGCCGAGCTGCAACTGCTTGCTCAATGGACTCCTCATCGGTAGCCATGAATTCACCTCTGCCAAAAGCAAAAGTTGTAAAAAAAAAAAAAAAATGAAAATCATCAAATTTAATAAATACTAGAAAATATTGGATCCAGTCTTCAATAATCTCTCTTCAACTATCTTCACTCTCTAAATTGATTTATTAACTTTAATAATAACACTAACTCCTCCAAAAATTTAGGTTTTCGCACAGTAAATTCATACTCTTAACTCAAAAACCTAGTGAAAATCTGGAAGAAAAATCTAGAAAATTTATCCTACTGAAAAAAAGAAAAAAGAAAAATTCTCAGCGATGAAACACGCAGATCCATTCACGTATGATTGCGAAAGCAATCGTGAAAATAATCAAAACTTTCAAAATACTTACGAACAGGCGACTGTAAAGGAACGAATTTGGAGGGTTTTAGTAGTGCCGGTTGCAAGAAGCACCAGAACCAGAAGAGAATTGTTTCTTCCTCCGTCTGCAAGAGGACAATTATTTCAATTTTGAAGCAACACAGGCAGCTTGGGGGTGGGCGGTTCATTTCCAATCTAAACTCAATGATGTGACCAAGAGTAATCGGTGTAAATCCAACCCAAACTAACATTAATTGGGGATGACCTGAATTATAAAATTTTATGATTAATATTTATGATTTTACTTTTAAATTTATTAAATTGCTTGATTGTAAAATAATTAAATTAAATAATTTAATATTTTTATTTTTATATTTTTTTTCATAAATATATTTTAAGAAAATTTTAATAAAATAAAAATATAATATATTTTTAAAATTTTTATTTTGAGAATAGTGTAGGGTAAATTATCTTTCAAAAATTTTGTAGAAGGTTATTTAAAGATTTAATTTTTAATTAATATTTTTAAAAATGGACCATTGGATCAAAAATTTTATTCATGTAAATTTTGCATGTTAATTTTCATGTTGCTCTAATACTTATAACTTATTTTTTAATTAATATTTTTAAAATTTAACTATAGGATTAAAAGTTTTATTCATATAAATATACATACTAATTTTTATGTTGATTTAACATTTATAACATGTTGATTACTGAAACTCTATTTAGTAACATATATTTAATAGTCTTAAATTTTTTATAATCAACAAAATGATTAGACATATTAAAACAATTTGAAAATTAGTATACATGATTTATATAAATAGAAATTTCAATTTAATAGTTAGATTTTAAAATAGCAATTAGAAAATGAGTTTTTAGATATATCCTTCAAAAAAATTTAAAACAACAACTTGCAAAATACTTTTTATTTTTATTTTTGTACACAAATTGTATTTTAAATTTTCCTTTCTTGTTTTACTTATTTCTTTAGTACACTATTTTTATGATTGTAATTAATATTAATTGTCATTTTACGTAACTTAATTAATTTAATTAAAAAGCATAGCAACCCAAAATCGTCTCTTAAATAGACAAAAGTCCTCTACTCTTATAACTATCTACTTTCTTAAGTAATTATTAGTTCACACATCTCTTTTTATTTTTATTTTTTTGTCATCTTCTTACAATCTAGTAGTTGGTATTATGATTGTATTGTCTATAATATTATTGTATTTTATAATTATATTTTCTGTTGTTTAATACTTTGTTTTTTTCCCTAATCAAATATATTTAAAATTATGTTAAAAATTTATGAATTTTACTGAACTACATTGAATTGATTTGATTATAATATAATAGTAAATTGAATTGGTTTAATAATTTTACTAATCGATTAAATTGGTTTGGTTTTAAAAATGTTAAAATTCAATCTAATCTACACAATGAACACCCTTATATGCTATGTTGGATAAATGGGCTATTAAGTTAAGCTTACATCCGTTTGGCCTTTCCTTTTTTTAAAGAAATAGAAAATTTACTTACAATTTTTTTTCTTTTTATTTTCCAAATAAATAAGCTATTACATTGGATTTATTGATTCATTAGAGATATTAATGAAGATACAATCCTCTAGTTTTGAGGTAGATGATTTCTCTTTGATTAGTTTAGGAAGACTAATCTTGAAATACAAGCAAGTTAATATCTTGAATGTTAAAAAAATAATAAATTATTTTGGTGGAAAGGAGAAATAGCATTACTAAATAAAATACATAAAACTAGGTTTTGTGGAATTTAACCCTTATAGCATTTGTAACTACAAACAGAGCAAGCCTTGTATGGCAAACATCATGTAATTGCACAAATTAGCCTTATGTTGACTTTAGCTTTCAAGACATCAGACCTAATAACTTGAATTTTTAGCATTTGTATCATACTAATAAGAGCTAAGCTTTTAAGATCATCCAACATATCATATAGAATAGATTTGAGTTAGACACATTTATGCTTAAGTCAACAATATTCAATTCATCCTAAGAAGAGCTTTGTACAAAGAGAAAGAAATGTAACAAATGTACTTTGAAGGTGGTGATTTTGGGGGTATTTATAAGCCCAATAAAGTAGTGTCTACATGGTATAACTACAGTGGTTATGTATAAGCACTTCGAGTGCGATGCATATCCATGAGAGTTCCTTTAAGGGCATCCAATGTTATTAGGGTTGACCTTATGTATCAATTATTAGTTTAATGTAGGGAGTTTAGTTTGGACCTTTTCAATTTGGATTTGTTCAATTCAACTTTGTCAACAATAACACGGTAGTTCAATTCAAATATTCTTTCACACTATGGAGTCATGGGTTTAATTTCCACATATGATGCTAATGTAATTGCCTGAATTACCTCTTTATTGACTTTAACTTTCTTGACCTTAAATCTTCTAACTTCTGACTTTCTAATCGTCCTATCATTTTGATAAAAGCTCATCCTAATAAAACTTGGGCTTTTCAATGCATCTAGCATATCTTGTAAAACAAACTCGAGGTGGTTTCCAAGGTAAATACTTTAATACTTAAGTTAGTGATATTCAATTCATCTTAAGAAGAGCTCTATAGGGAAAGAAACAAAGGTAATGAATGCACGTTATAAGTGGTGGTTATGGGTTATTTATAGGCTTAACAAGGTGGTGTCCACGTGACATAACTATAGTGGCCATGTATGAGCATTTTGATTGTAATGCATATCCATGAAGGTTCATGCAAGAGCATCTAGCTTTGTCATTAGGTTAACCTTATGTATTAGTCATTAGTTTGAAGTGGGGAGTTCAATTCAAACCTTTTTAATTTGGCCTTTTCTAATTCAAACTTATTTAATTTGGCCTATAACTTTCATTTCCTCTCATTGTAGACTATTTTCCTCTCTATCTAATTTCGTGTGGATTGTCCAAAGCAAAATCCTAGGTCAAGTAAATTTGGACCTTCTCAGTTTAGACCTCTTCAATTCAACCATGTTTAAAATGCCAACAAGGTGATGTCTACGTGACATAACTATAATGACTATGTATGAGCCCTTTGGGTGCAATCCATATCTATGAAGGCTCATGTAAAGGCATCTAGTTTGGTCATTAGATTTAACCATACGTATTAGTCACTAGTTTGATGTGGGGGGTTCAATTCAAACCTGTTAATTTAACCTGGTCTAATTTGGACTTGTTTAATTTAGTTCATAACTTTCCTTTCCTCTCATTATAGACTAATTTCTTTTCTATCTAATTTCGTGCAAAGTATCCAAAGCAAAGTCCTAAGTCAAGTGCATTTGAACATCCTTAATTCAGAGCTCTTCAATTTAGCCCTGTCCAATTTGGACATGTTTAATTTAGTCCAAAACTTCCATGTCCTTTTGTTGTAGACTAATTTCTCTCTATTTAATTTGATGTGAATTGCCAAAATAAGTCCTAAGGGCAATCACCTCCTTTTTTTTTTTTTTTCTTTTTTTTGTTTCAAGTATTTCATAAAAAGGTTTTTCATCACCAATAGGAGTGCTCAAAACATTATCAACTAATTGAATGCTAGCCTTTAACTCTTCCTTTGAATCATCCTAGTGCTTGATAATATTAGTAAGCTCTTCCTTATAATTGGGTTCTTATTAATCAACACCAAAAACCTCTTCATAAAAAAGATGCCCAATCTCATCAACAAGATAATTTGAGCCACTAGGATATAGCCTAAAGAATCCTTAAGAGGGATGGAATCATTTAGTGTTGATATTTTTAGATGTGGGTGTGATGGTGGAGGACCAAAATTTGCACATTGGTAACATTGGTAAGCCATAGAGGTAAGGCAACTTGTGGCATACCAATTGCTTCTTTTAGTTCATGTGATGAAGTTCCTGATTTCAGCATCCTCAACTTTATCTCAAACTCTTTCCATTCTTGATAAAGATTTCATGAATTGTCAATAGTTACCTCATTTGGTATTTAAACAATGCATCATGGAGAATCCTAGGCATGTGTAAAAATAAAGACTTTATCAATTCATAAGCAATAAATATCACAACCCATGCATGAACTCTGTTAAGGATTATCATCATCTTTAGTATTCCTAGAGCTGTAAAAAGCCTTAATTCCCATCTTTAGCAAGAAGGAACCAACTTTTGATTTAGTATTAACATGAAGGAATGTAGTAATCATCCGTAGTAGAATTTCTACTATAAACCATGAAAAACACAAGCCATAAATTCAAGATGCTTATGACCTCCATTTTGACTAACACAATATTCTCCATTCCAACCATTGTCATTATTCTAATTCTCATTAGCAACATTTTAACCATTTTGTAATGCTTGTTTGCAGTCGACCCAAACTCTTGTCCAACAAAACAAATAATAGATGTTACTACAACCATCTTAACCAATTTGTATATTGTATTTTAATAGCCTTAAACATAATTGCACATAAGATGAGATTGAGCATATCCAATTTCCAAATGGGGGTTAATAACTTAATTAAAAACAGCAAAGCTATTAACAAATATGCAAGGAAACCCATGACAATCCAAGAATTTTCTTCAAAATGAAATCAAAAGAGATTCATTAATAAGAAAGAAATAAGATATATGAAAACCTCCAAGCCGAAGAAATGCCTTTCATGCCAAAACCAAGCCTTCAACAGATCCATGTAGAGTAAAACTAAACTGATGAAGAGTACTCTTGCAGCAAATTTAGTAAAAACAATTATCAGTGTTGTGTACCACCTAAATTTCTCTCCCAAGTTTCATCCTTCCATTGTTATCTAACTTGTAACGTAAAGAAGAAATCTAACTGTAATCAGCAAAAATATTTCCTTCTAAGTAGGCATCATTTTAAATGGCTAAATTTAATTGTGCTCTTTCTAAGTGAAACTAGCAACTTGAGAAGATTTTCTTCAATCTTGTAAAATAGCTAATGTAATTTCACAAATGAATATTTGAGTCACTAGAGGGGGTGCTAAGAAGGAATATTTATTTCTCTCTCTACCGAGCTTTCCTTATGATGAACTACATATTACTAATTTAAGCATTAATGTTTCCCCAAGGACCACTTCATGCCTATTTACAAGATACACTAAATGAGTTAAATAACTCAACTCTTACTAAGATGATATGATACTAGAAAGTCAGTAGTCATTAGATTTGAGGTTAAGAAAACTAGA